CGTCTTATCGTTCTGCCTTGAACGACTTTTAGATTAATACACAAGAGTTTGACTGAAAATGTAAATAAAAGATGAGTGTGTGTTTCTTCTGTGTTTATTGGCCAAAGTTATAAAGATTTAATTATGTAGTATTTGCAACATGACAGTTATTACAAGTATATTGATTAGGATGAACATAAATACTGGTTTTTGATTGTTTATTACATAATGCACCAGATTATTACACAAACACATTTTGTAACAATTGCCACAAAATGTAATAGCATTATTACATAATGCGTTAAAGGCTTTTATTACATTTTGAAGCCTAATTTTATTACATTATTACATAATGCACTGTTATTCCAAAATGAGGTCTTACAGGCCTGGATTTTCTCCCATGCTGTGTGTTTGAGAGTATTTTATTTATGTACAGTAAAAATGTTGGTACTGTTTGTAAAGGAGAGTTTATTATGCAGGCTTTTTTTTAAATTACATTATATTCTAAGTGTTTAAATGTGTGATGTACACACTTAACCAAAAACAGGGATTTATGTGTAAGGATGTTAAACAAAGATTTGACCCCACTATGAATATTGTGGCCCTTTGATGGCCCCTTACTCAGAAAAATCCTAGATCCTCCACTGCTCTACGGTTTATGAAGAAAGTAAGCCAGTGCAGCTGACATACATTTGAAAGCAGAATGCAGTGATTTGTAAACTTCATAAAGTCATAGTTTATCTACAGTAACACGTAGTAAACATTAAATGTTACAACTAAGACATGTTGAAGGAGAAATCAGGTCATTTATTTGATGTTAGACTACTTGAAACAAGTCTTTTAGAAGGAAAGATGACAGGGCTTCACCTGGATGGTAGTCAGAGACACCTGCACACATCACTGATTGTAACACAGTCCACTGTTCCATCCACAGCTGATGGTTAAAGCTCTATCATGCACACAGACCATATGTGAGCAGCATGCAGAAACGCTGTTGTCTGGTCAGAACCCAAGCAAGGTTCAGTCCCTCCAAAAACCCCTCAACTGCTCTCTGTTCCTGCATGTTTACACGCTGGTGTTAAAGAAGGAAAGTATGAGGGGTATGGTATGGGAGTGCCCCTCTGTGGAGGGAGGATTCATTTTGTTTGTGTTGTKGGGTGGAAGGTCCATGGGCTGTGTCTCAATTCAGGGGCTGGGTCCTCATGAGTGCACATCTGTGGGTTGCATATGTCATTAGCTGTGTTTCCATTGACCGTGAAAATGTGCAAATTGGAATTTCGAAAATAAATTTGCTCACTGGAAACACACCAATTTCGAAAAAAAATTGTTTTTCAACAAAATGTTTTTGCACTAGGATGAGGTGGTTTTTC